AAATATAATATTTTTAAATTATTTTTTTAATTATATTATAATTATAATTAAGTTATTTCTTTATCTCATATTATAATAAATAATCACACATTAAAAAATATTAAAATTCTTTAATATAATTAATTGAAAGTGAGTATTAAATTAAAAATGGGAACGGGGACGGGTACGGGTACGGGACAGGTAAGTACATACCCGTACCCGTACCCGATTTAATATATCGGGTTTTACCCGTACCCGTACCCGTACCCGGTCAAACCGGATATTCCCCGTCAAAGTCAGGACGGGTTCGGGTATTATCCGCGGGTACGAGTATATTTACCATCCCTAATCAGAATTGTTGGTAAATGTTTTCCATGTTTTGAACACATTACATGTATTTTTTATTTAGTAGTTTAATAAAATATTGAAAAGATTAGTAAATGATATAATAAGAAGAGATAACATTACTTTTATTAAAAGCAGCGATTGATAAAATTTCTCAATAAAAGAAAGAAAATGTTGAAGAAAATATTTTTGATGGCCAACGTCCTTGATGGGTGTCTCATAATTTGTGTCTAAGTTCATTTAGATTACTGTTTTCTCAAAAAGTATGTCACGTTAGAATAATTGAAAATCATAAAGCCACTTTGTTGTTTTGGTCATTAAACTGCATCTTATGACTAATGTTTACTTATCTTACTATGTCTTGTATGGTTAAAGAAAAACAAAAGTTCTTTTTATTGTCTTTCAACAGGTCCATAAGCCTTACGATTAACTTGAGAATGGAAACATCTACATGCTGAAAATTCACGTGATGAGTGTGAAAATCCATGGTAACTTAGGGGGGAAGTGGGTAGCGTCGAATAACTTTGCCATATGCATCCAGATTTTAACCAACAAAGTCCAAACCATGCCATGCCTTTCAGCTATGTTTGGATAAGAGTTGAAAAAACATTTTTGCAAATTTTAATATTTAATTTTGAATCTTGATGTACAAAATAAAGGAAGTTTTTTTTTTTTTTTTTGGTTATAAGAATAAAAATACTTTTGAGGTTTTGGACCGATTCAAATATGCACCGTTAAACATGAAGGGGTTGTTGAGTATTTTAGATTTATTTTGGGAAATATGTAGGTGCTAAAACATGCTAGTTTAGATGCATTGACAAAATTATAAGAGGAGAATAGAAAAGCAAATGTTGAATGAATGATAAAGAGATTTGGTGGGAGCATAGGTTTGTGATGTAGCAAATAATGGAGAGGTTGGCAATGGCAATGGCAAAGGCCAAAGCAGAGAGGATCACAAAGAATCGTGTCAAATCAGAGGAATCAAAAAGATGCCCATGTTTTGTGGCCCTAGTGTTCCAAACAGATGCTGCTTAGCTCATTCTCCAAAAGATTCATACTCCTATAACTGCATTGCAGTTTGCAAGAGATGCCTACAGCAACAAATTAGTAATTACATTATTTATTTTTAACAATATTTCATTTATTTGTCTTTATTAATTCAACAGAAAATATCATAAGAATCAGAAGAAAAAAACAATGTAAATAAGAGAAATAACATGTACCACACACAAGTTAAATATTTATTATATATTACTAAAATTTAAAATAAATAATATATATAAATAAATATTATGTTTGAATCAATAAATTATATTTAAAATTTAAATAAATAGATATT